TACAGCCTCAAACTCCCTGGGTTCAGGCAATCCTCCCAACTCAGCCGCCCGAGTAGCTGGGACCACAGGTGCACACCACTACACCTGGCTAATTTTTTTTTTTTTTGTAGAGACAGGGTTTCACTGTGTTGCCCAGATTGGTCCCAAACTCCTGGGCTTAGTCCTCCCACCTCAACCTCCCAAGTAGCTGGGACTGCAGGAACATGCCACCATGCCCAGCTAATTTTTTTTTTCTTTTTTTTGTAGAGATGGGGTTTCACCATGTTGCCCAAGCTGGTCTTGAACTCCTGGGCTCAAGCAGTCTTCCTGCCTCAGGCACCCAATGTGTTAGCATTACAGGCATGAACCATCATACCCAGCCAATAAAATTATTATGTAGTTTTTAAAATCTAGAATATTATCATCATTTACCCAATTTTTGTCTAATTTAAACCTGTGTTGTGCCTGCATATGAATGTTGTATATAGTTTTTATCTTTGGTTGTAGTTGGAAACATGAGCTTATTTGCCTCAAAGAGATGACAGGAATTCAGAAAATATTGCTGGTTCTGCTCCTGAATCCTATAGTAACAAAAATTAATCAGTGCAATTAAGTTGCAACATTGCATATCAGAAATTTAATTTTTACTTGCTGAAATGGTAATGATTAATCCTAATTGGATGCCTACATTTTCAGAAAGATGTGCCGGATGGGGTGAAAGAGCTATCAGAAGGTTCAGAAGAAAGCAGTGATGGTCAGTCAGATTCCCAGAGTTCTGAGAACAGCAGCAGCAGCAGTGATGGTGGCAGCAACAAGGAGGGAAAAAAGAGCAGGTGGAAAAGGAAAGGTAAATCCACCTGATCCTTCATTAAAGTACTAAATGCTGTAGGACAAATGCCATTGTTAGTAGTTTCTCTTTTCCCAGACCCCAGGTCAGTCAGTCACTTTCCCGTACCGTGTATAACAGTCCGGTCTAGGAGAGTTTTCTGCAATGATGGAGACGTTTATATCTTTATGTCGAGCACAATGCAGTAGTCACTAGCTACATGGGCCTGTTGAACACTTGAAATATGGTTATTATGACCAAGGAACTTAAAAAATAAAAAATGCTTTCTTTTATAGAGCTTTTTAGGGTTCACAACAAAATTGAGAGGAAGGTACAGAGATTTACCATGTACCCTTTCTCCTGCTACATGCACAGACTTTCCCACTACCCACATTCTCCACCAGAGTGGTATATTTGTTACAACTGATGAACCTACATTGGCAAATCATCACCCACCAGAGTCCATGGTTTACATTAGAATTTACTCTTGGGAGTTATATCCTATGGCTTTGAACAAATGTATGACGTGTATTCACCATTATAGTATCAAACAGAATAGTATCATTGCCCTAAAATCTTCTGTGCTCCAGCTTTACATCCCTTCCTTCCTTTAAACCCTTGACAACCATTGACTTTTTTTTATTTTTGAGATGGAGTTTTGCTCTTGTGGCCCTGGCTGGAGTGCTATGGAGCAGTCCCGGCTCACTGCAACTTCTGCCTCCTGGGTTCAAGCGATTATCCTGCCTCAGCCTCCTAAGTTGCTGGGATTACAGGCGCCCACCACCATGCCCGGCTAATTTTGTAGTTTTAGTAGAGGCAGGGTTTCACCATGTTGGTCAAGCCGGTCTCGAACTCCTGACCTGAGGTGGTCCACCTGCCTTGGCCTCCCAAAGTGCTGGGATTACAGGCCTGAGCTACTGTGCCTAACCTGACAACCACTGACATTTTACTGCTTCCATAATTTCACCTTTTCCATAATGTCATATAGTTGGAACCTTTTCAGATTGGCTTTCGTTTAGTAATATGCATTTAAGGTTCCTCTGTGTCTTCATGGCTTGATAAGTCATTTCTTTCTCTTTTGTTTTAACTTTAATTTTAAGTTCAGGGGTACAAGTGCAGGTTTGTTACATAGGTAAACCTGTGCCATGGGTGTTTGTTGTGCAGATTATTTCATCACACAGGAATTAAGCCTATTTAACCACTGGTTATTTTTCCTGTTTCTCTCCCTCCTCCCCCACTGCACCCTATGAAAGACCCCAGTGTGTGTTGTTCCCCTCTATGTGTCATGTATTTTCATCATTTAACTCCCACTTATAAGTGAGAACATGGTATTTGGTTTTCTTTTCTAGTATTCGTTTGCAATAGGTCATTTCTTTCCATTGTCTAGGTGTGCCACAGTTTGTTTATCCATGCACCTACTGAAGGACATCTTGGTTGTTTCCAAGTTTTGGCAATTATGAATAAGGCTGCTTTAAACATCTGTGTGCAGATTTTGTATGTGCGTAAGTTTTCAGCACCTATGGATAAAAACCAAGGAGTGTGACTGCTGGATCGTGTGGTTAAGAGTATGTTTAGTTTTATAGAAACTTCCAAACTATCTTCCAAATTGAGTGTACCATTTTGCATTTGCACCAGCAGTGGATCAGAGTTCCTGTTGCTTCATGTCCTCATCAGCATTTGGTGTGGTCATTGTTCCAGATTTTGGCCTTTCTGATAGGTGTTTAATAGTATCTCATTATTGTTTTAATTTGCATTTCTCCAATGACATATGTTGTGGAGCAGCTTTTCATTTGCGTATTTGCAGTCTACATATCTTCTTTGGTGAGAAGTCTCATCAGGTCTTTGGCTTATTTTAAAATTAGGTTGTTTGTTTTCTTAATTGTTGAGCTTTAAGAGTTCCTTGCATATTTTGAGTAACAATCCTTTATCATATGTCTTACAAATATTTTCTGTGTCTTGTTTTTTTTTTTTGGAGACATAGTCTCTCACTGTTGCCCAGGCTGGAGTGCAGTGGTGCCATCTTGGCTCACTGCAGCCTCTGCCTCCTGTGTTCAAGTGATTCTCCTGCCTCAGCCTCCTGAGTAGCTGAGATTATAGGCACCCGCCCCCACGCCCAGCTAATTTTTGTATTTTTAGTAGAGATGGGGTTTCACCCTGTTGGCCAGGCTGGTCTCGAACTCCTGACCTTGCGATTTGCCCTCCTTGGCCTCCCAAAGTGCTGGGATTATAGGCATGAGCCACCACAATCAGCCAAGCCACCACCCCAGGGCTGTCTTGTCTTTTTATTTTCTTGGCAGTTTCTTTCACAGATCAAAAATTTTTAATGAAGTCTAGTGTATCAAGTTTTTTCTTTTGTGAACTGTGTCTTTGGTCTTGTATCTAAAAGTCATCACAAAACCCCTAAATTTTCTTCTATATGGTATGGTATGGTATGGTATGGTATGGTATGGTATGGTATGGTATGGTATGGTATGTTCTAGGGGTTTTATAAATTTTCATTTTTATTTAAATCTGTGATCCATTTTGAGTTAATTTTATGTGAAGGGTATGAGACTTGTATCTGGATTTCTTTTGTTATTTACATGTGGATTTCTAGTTAGGAATTTAATTTTGATTTTAACTTTAAATAGCCACATAAGGATAGTGGGTACCACACCAGACAACATTCTAGGTTTTACCTGGATTTGTTCTTAGGTCTTAAGTCATTCATAGACTTTTTAGGATGCTTTTATTTTACTTGCCTCTGTAATCCTCTCTTCTAAATTTTGAGCCCTTAATGCTGTAACAACCCTCCTTAGGAAAAGAATGCTTTTCATTTCTACCAGGAAACACCGAATTTAGTCTGCTGGTGTTTGCTCTCATTCCCTTTGGTGTCTACTTCATAGCTCACTCGAAAAGCTTTCTTTAGGCAATAATGTATGTTGCTGAGCTTTCCTGGAATGGATTTTCTAGTTTAGGATATGAATTACTATTCCTGCTAATTATTCTGTAGCTTCTTGTCAGAGTCTATTCAAAGTGGGCAAATCTTTTTTATCCCAATATTTATAATTTTAGCTGTACATAACAAGGCAAATTTTAAACCAACTCATGATGATTCTTTCACAAGGACTGGTAATAGTTATGTTCCAGAGCAAAACAGACATTCAAACTTTTTCCTAGCTTGAATATCCTCTTAGATTCGAGTGATGATAGGTAAGTTGTCTTTGGAGCTAGCTAGCTCAGGTTATGCTGGAATAATAGACTCATTCATTTAAGTCCCTTCAGAACAATTAATATGCCTATGTTAGAAAAATAGTTCTGATTCATTATCATCCCTCTGTTAATGTTCTTGCTACTCCTGGAAAGAATTGAGATAATTGATGGCCTCATCTGTTCTCTCTGCTATAGCTACTACATACATAATTTGAGTGAACTTTGTAATCAGAGAATCTTAGCTTTAAGATGATAACCAGACCTCAATTGTTAGGAATAAAGGGAATGAAAGCAAGAGAAAGAGGTGCTTCTGACTAATATTGTTGATATATGTTTTTAAAGTAATCCCTGTCAATAATGAAAGGAGGTATGGTTCAGGGCCCCAAATTCCCTGCGGTTCACTAAGCACCTATTTTTGAAAGAATCTAAAAGTGTAAAGGGCTCTCTCTGTCTATCCCCTGTTATCTCTGTCTGTCTCCTCATTTTATTTTTTTATTCTGATTTTTTCCCTTGTTTTCACAAGTGTTCATTCTCCCCATTTTAAGCTTTTCCTTTAAAGTTTGGAATTGCAGATCTAAGATTAGGAACCGAGCCAGGTCATCAGATAAGGGAAGCAATTAGCAAGATTCATGTTTTCTGGATGGGATTGGGACAGGGAAATCAATATTAAAGAAAGTCTAATAAAATGGGAATATAGTTGGGGCCCTTGCTTTTTCAAGAGCCACATATGTTGCTCTTCGAATAGTGGCTATCGTATCTGTATTTCTTCTGCTTAGAACTAATGGTTATTGCTGGGTGCGGTTTCTCACGCCTGTAATCCCAGCACTTTGGGAGGCCGAGGTGGGCGGATCATGAGGTTAGGAGATCAAGATCATCCTGGCCATGGTGAAACCCCATCTCTACTAAAATACAAAAAATTAGCCGGGCATGGTGGCACGTGCCTATAGTCTCAGCTACTCAGGAGGCTGAGGCAGGGGAATCACTTGAATCCAGGAGACAGACATTACAGTGAGCTGAGATTGTGCCACTGCACTCCAGCCTGGCGAAAGAGCAAGACCCTGTCTCAAAAAAAAAAACCAAAAAACAAAAAACTAATGGTTATTAATGGCTATCTCTAAGAATTTGAGATGAATGTATTAAGATATAGGAAGATACAAGGAATAACCATAGAACCCTATTAGCCAGTAGCCAGATAGGTAGATATGAATAGCTTAAACTTGCCCCACACTCTGCATAGTAATAGAATACAGGAACAGCAAGGTAATGTCAAACTGAATGTTGGGTCCAATTGTTTATGAGCTGCCTTTCCTTTATTCCTTTTCCAGAAATTATGATAATATCAATTATTTTTCCTTGGTTTACAATAAGATGAGTTGTTCTGTAAAGCTCTTTTCTGGTTGTAGGTAGTCTAAAGCTGAGAGGAAAATTGACTATGTGATATCTGGAAGGTGGAGTGAGAGGTGCAGATGTCACATGTAATTCACGTTTATTTAAGTAGCTCTCATATTCTGAAGAAATGAATGAATGCCAAGCCACCAATAATGAAGAATTATTTAGTCTCATAGAATGTGCATCTGTCATTTATGAATCATATATATGACATAGATACCATATAATTTTTAGGTATATATTATACGTTTATGGATGTTTTTATAGTCCAGTGCAAATTAAAGTGACATGTGTAACCAGCAGTGAGCGTGCAGCAAACAGTTCTAAATCTTAGTTATCAATAAAGGTAAAGCAAGCTAATTGTGCCTATTACTTTTTCTTATTTAGGGCTTTTACTCTCAATCTGGCGTCACTTTATTTCAAATGCACTGTAAGACAGGAAGAACACTTGAGATAGTATCAAAACTCACTTCCTTTTATGTACAAAAATAAAGAGCTGTGACAGCAAAACTGATACTTCTAGTTGAAAATCGATAGAAACTTTCTTGATATATGTATACCTTTCAGCCCAATAGGAACAGAGAATAGAAGTTTGAAATTCAGTCCAATATTAAAACTAGTTTATTGATTTCTATGTAAAGTGGAAGAACTCTAGTTTTGGTTCCTAGTTTTCAGACAGGAAACACAATGTTCAGAGAAGAGTTTTGTGGAATTCCAAATCAAGGTAAGGTGGAATAATAACTTCAGAAAAACAAATACTAAAATAAACTATTTATATTGCTTTTTTATAATCATAGCTAAGTGAAGTCTCTGCCTTTTCCCCAAAATAAAACACTGTATTATGAAGCAACTGTAGGACTATTATTTTTATCTTGTGATAGAAAAAGTTTTGTTAGATTTTGGTCTGCTTTGAAAATGTCTTAAGAATGAAATCAATTACATGAAGTATACTTTTCTCTGTAAGTGAAAAAGTGTTGTTTCCTCTAGTGTGGATTAATGTTAATTGTACTGCTTGTTCAGAACTACTCAGGAATTTGATATATATTGTGTCTTGAGTTATTTAAAATACCATAAACCTATCTACCTTCTAACATTTATATGTATGTTAAGTTACCGAATGGGGATGATTATGTCTCCTTATAAAAGTATACTGGAAGCAAAACTTTTTTTGGCGAGTTAACTTAGATGGAGAGATACCTTTTGGAGATGTTCTGTTTTCATCTGCGGTTATGATTGGTGGCTGAATTGGAGGTTTTAGCTCTGTCTTATGTTAAGGATGGCTACACTGTTAGGGCTTTGAATAGTCAGGGTACCCAGAAGCAAGGAAAGTGTTCAGGTGTGGCCTTTCTCATTTAGGCCAAGGGACTCTGAATGTAATCAGGAAACTCCACCTGCCTAGTTTGGAGTAGATTGTACTTGGTGTTGGAGGAAGGTACTTAGAGCTACAGCTCGTGCTCGACTTACGACCACGATTGGTTCCGACAGACCGGTCGTAACACAATTTGGTCGTAAGTTGAGTAGGCTATATGTACAGTACTGTGAAATGATGTTATAAAAATCTCAAAGTCATATTTTATCATAATTTTCTTTCATTATTGTTATATATCATAATTTTCTTTGTTCATTTTATGCAATTTGTATCATCTCTACACCATTTTGTTTCTTATTTTTACATTCGTCAGGTTTAAGTAAAACACTGCATACCAGTACAACTGGTTTAATATTTGCAAAACATACAAAATTACAAAATACAGGTGCATACAAAAATACAAAATACAGGTGTAAAAAATACCATAGGAAACATTTTCCCAATTGCAAAACATATCAAAATATATAAACATGTACGAAACATTTTATTGGCCGCTGGTGCTTGGCTGTGGATCGTTGATGTCGTCATCTGAGGCAGCAGTTGGGGTTACCGGAGCTGGTTTTTTCATAAACATGGTGAGCTTTGTCTGAATTGTATGTTTCTTTTTTTCTTCATAAATTTCACGATATGGACGAAACACATCGTGCGCCATCCGTTCAATCCTTGCAAATCATTCGATGTTTGGGTCCATTGCTTCGAAATGTATAAGAAGTTTATTGGGAGGGGTTTGATGAAAAATATCCAAGACACAAAACACAAATTGCTGTACCAAGTCTAGGATAACAGTTGAAATGGTGCATGCAGAGATGGTAGTGCTGCCGGAAGCTGGTCTGCACTGTTGTACACCCAGCTGGGCAACGTTTGCGCTGCCAGACGCAGAGCAGTCGTGGCTAGCGATTGTGGTCGTAAAGTTGAATGGTCGTAAGTTGCATAGGTCGTAAGTTGATCAATACCTGTAAAAAGGATCTATTACCTCTAAAGAAAGGCCTGTTAGAATAAAAACTCTCCTTCAAGAGAAACGTAACTGTTTCTAAAGACTAAAATCATTTTGGAAACTTTGATTGTTATTCCTTCAACAATCAATTCTTCAACTATATGTGGCTCTTAAGTTTCGATTTTGTTATCAGTGCTTCAGTTTCTGATATCTCCCTAATACTTAATAGGAGCTCATTAAATGTCTTTGGGAGAAAATAAAAATTTAAGTCAGAGATTATTTACTAAAACTTTTAACTCAAATGCATCTAATTTTAATAGTCTATATCTTTTTGACCTCGTTCAACATTATAATCATCCATTGAAATGGAAAATTCTCCATGCTGTAATGTATGTGAAAAGTAGTAGTACCTTTTGACTTAAACTTAGTGAGCAGTATGTAAATATCCAGCAACCGGAAACTGCTTTAGTGAGCTATGTAAAACTGACTGATAAGCCTCAAGTTCTAAAATTTGTTTTGTTGTATTTATTTTATTTATTTTTTGAGACAGAATCTTGCTCTGTCGCCCAGGCTGAGAGTGCAGTGGCACAATCTCTGATTACTGCAGCCTCAGTTACTGGGTGCAAGCAATTCTTCTGTCTCAGCTTCCCCCCATAGCTGGGACTACAGGTGTGCGCCACCATACCCAGCTGATTGTTGTATTTTTAGTAGAGCCGTGATTTTGCTATGTTGCCCAGGCTGGTCTTGAGCTCCTGGCCTCAAGTGATCTGCCTGCCTCGGCCTCCCAAAGTGCTGAGATTACAGGTATGAGCCATTCCACCCAGCCTAAATTTTATTTTAGATGTTTTTCTGAAAACACGTAAATTAAGCTTTAAACAAATAATGTATTAGCCAGATGCGGTGGCTCATGCCTGTAATCCCAGCTACTTGGGAGGCTGAGGCAAGAGAATTACTTGAACCCAGGAGGCGGAGGTTGCGGTGAACCAGATTGCACCATTGCACTCCAGCCTGGGTTATAGAGTGAGACTCCACCTCAAGAAAAAATGGGGAAACATGGAAAACGACAAAAAAAATATTCAGAATTCAAATAAAAAAAAATAAAAACATAAAAAAATAGCACTCCACCTAAAAAAAAAAAAAAAAAAAAATTGGAGAGAGATCCAAGATGGCAGGTTACTAGCAGCTTGGGATTGTAGCTCCCACTGAAAGAGCAGAGAACGAGAGGACGCCACACTTTCAGATCAATTTTTGTTGCTCACGCACCAGGAGATTCCCAGCGGAGGAGCCCCACGTGTTGCCAGCGCAACTCTTGAGGCCGGTGAGGCGGTTTTGCCGCTGCCTTGGAGCGGAGGTTCTTGGTGCAGAGTCAGAAAAGCACCATCAATCTTAAAGCCGCTGTTTTGGCCAGCACAGTGGGTTGCTCAGATTCTAGCGCCGGGAATCAACAAGTTGGACGTCCATTCAGAAACCCAACTATAAAGACGGTAATTATAAAGACCACAGATGGATAAATCTATAAAGAAGGGAAGAAAACAGCCTAAAAAGGCTGAGAATACCCAAACTCGGAACGCCTCTCCCTCTACAGGGGATCACAGTTCCTCATCAGCAAGGGAACAAGGCCTGATGGAGAAAGACTGTGTTCCATTAGCAGAAGCAGACTTTAAAAAGTGGTTGATAAGAAACTTCTGGGAATTAAAAGAACTTGTTCTAACCCAATGCAAAGAAACTAAGAACTTTGAAAAAGGGTTTGACGAAATGTTAAAAATAACACACAATTTAGAGAGGAATATAAGTGAATTAATGGAGCTCAAAAATACAACACGAGAACTTCGCGAACTATGCACAAGTTTTAACAGCCGAATTGATCAAGTAGAAGAAAAGATATCAGAGGTCGAAGACCAACTTCATGAAATAAAACAAAAAGACAAGATTAGAAAAAAAAAGGATAAAAAAGAACGAGCAAAGTCTCCAAGAAATATGGGACTATGTGAAAAGACCTAATCTACGTTTGATAGGTGTACCTGAATGTGACAAGGAGAATCAATCCAAGCTGGAAAATACACTTCAGGATATTATTCAGGAAAACTTTCCCAACCTAGCAAGGCAGGACAATATTCAACTCCAGGTAATACAGAGAACACCACAAAGATATTCCTCAAGAAGACCAACCTCAAGGCACATAATCGCCAGATTCACCAGGGTTGAAATGAAGGAGAAAATATTGAGGGCAGCCAGAGAGAAAGGTCAGGTTACCCACAAAGGGAAGCCCATCAGACTCACAGCAGATCTCTCAGCAGAAACCCTACAAGACAGAAGAGAGTGGGGGCCAATATTCAACATCCTTAAAGAAAAGAACTTTCAACCCAGAATTTTACATCCAGCCAAACTAAGCTTCATAAGCGAAGGAAAATAAAATCTTTTGTGAACAAGCAAGCACTCAGAGATTTCATCACCACCAGGCCTGCTTTACAAGAGCTTCTGAAAGAACCACTACAAATAGAAAGGAACAACCAGTATCAGCCTTTCTAAAAAATGCCAAAAAATAAAGAACATCAACATAATTAAGAAATTGCATCAATTAATGGGCAAAACAGCCAGCCAACATTAAATGACAGCATCAAACTCATATATATTGTTATTAATTCTAAATTTAAATCGACTAAATCCCCCAATCCAAAGACACAGACAGGCAAAAAAAGCCAAGACCCATTGGTATGCTACATCCAGATCCATCTTACATGCAAGGATACACAAAGACTGAAAACAAAGGGTTGGAGAAAAATTTACCAACCAAATGGAGAGCAAAAACAAATAAATAGAAAGCAGGAGTTGCAATTTTTGCTGATAAAATAGACTTCAAAGCAACAAAGATCAAAAGAAGCAGAGAAGGATATTACATAAAGATAAAAGGATCAATGTAACAAGAAGAGCTAAAGATCCTAAATATAAATGCACCCAATACAGAAATACCCAGATATATAAGACTTATAAAGAGACTTGGACTCCCACACCATAACAGTGGGAGACTTACAGATCAATGAGACAGAAAGTTAACATCGATATTCAGGACTTGAACTCAGATCCGGAACAAGTAGACTTAATTAACATTCATAGAACTCTCTACTTTAAATACACAAAATATACACTCTTATCAGTACTACATCACACGTATTTACAGGTTTAAATGAAATATTGGTTGGCTGCTTGTTAATTATTTTCTTCCCTCATTTTTTTTTAATGTCTCTATTATTAAACATAATTACAGGCATACCCATTTTTATACTGCATTTTAGCTCGGGCAATAAAGCAACACCCCTGTTCTCTCTCCCTCTTCCTTTTCCTCTTTCTTCCTTTCCTTTATTCTTTTCTTTTTTTTCTTTTTGAGACGGAGTTTCACTCTTGTTACCTAGGCTGGAGTGCA